AGGTAAATGTACAGATATTATTCATCACATTAACATGGAGCTTACATATAAGTATAATCTATACACCACCACCTCAGTATAGGAGCTGTATAATTTGTTTGATTTGATTGTAAGGTCTCATTAGCTTATTCATTATTCAGGGTTGTATGAAATAGATATGAAGTCTGTATTAAAGGAGCTAATGAGGAACTTTAATGGGGATAATCTTGTCCACTTTAATCAGTTATTAATTATCAGCCTGGTAATTAATCACTGTAATCGAGTGATGATGATGATTATGGCAACCGTACATCGATTAGTTACTGTTATTCATTCTTCGTTTGATGAGAAGGGATGAGAAAGCAATGGCAAGTAATCAAAGGCTATGAACATTTGACATGAATGACATGAAAGTTGCGTCTAGGTTAGCACATTTTATACATTAACATTGAAGCAAAACTGAGGGATATTCACTCAGCGAAATAAGTTAGCCATTGTCCGAATATTGATACACTTTCTGGCCTAGTGTGGGTCGTCCTGAGCCAGTTTATTTCGCTGGCAAAAGAGCATATATCAGTTCTAATTTAGCTCTCTGCTCGTACTGTTGATAAGAAAGTGAGTCACTATATGGACACCATTACCCATTAATTTTCCTGGGTAGAGCAATACAAAAAGCACGCATGAAGAAATAAAACCAGAAAGATAAGAAGATAACAAAATGGTCAAGATAATGTAATAATGTTGGATCTAACAAACATAAAGCAAGTAACATTCTGCTGACACAGCACTAACAGATTAAGTACATTTACAAACTATGTACAAATATGCATATTACATGTACATTATTATCACACGTTAAACACATCATAGAAAATCCTTCTATTACAAATATTCAGAAGATTAAATATCGCTGTTTTTAAAATATTAAATGTTACACCCATAATATCTAACCGTACACTCATGCTTTATCTTGATTAACGTTTCGAAGTTAAATTTATGTTTGCGTTTAGTAATAAAATATCGCTCGAGCTCGCAATAAAGATTTTAAAAAAAGAAAATTATTTAAAGAAGAATTCAATCCGATACAATCGTGATCGAGTTATTCTCACCAAGATTGTGTTCAATTTGATGTGACTCGTCGTTATCGTGGAGCATTTGAATGGTGTTATCCAGGCAGCAAAAGATTAGCATTTAACCTTGCTAATTCCATGCAGTCCCATCAACGGGTTTACTGATAACAGCTCCACGATAAGACTCATATTACCAATGAAACTTGAAATTCTTGAAGCAAATGTTTATGTATCATAAAAGGAATTTTAATCGAGTTTTTTGGAACTATACACATTTTTTCTTCCATTTTAGATACAATGGCCCTTGTAAATGTTCAATTTGAACATTGAATAATCTTTAAAATAAAATTAATTTCGATCAATCAAGGTAGTTACACTTTGTGCAACTTACCTTGAGTCCTCGTATAAAAATTGCACGCGGTTCTGCCTTTTCAGAATGCATACTAAGTAATTTTTTCTAAAAATCAACTTCACTAATAATGTAACATTTTGTGTTTTCAAGTCAAATCATTAATAGAACTAAAAATTATGAAAAATTTCTTAGAATTTGAAAAGAACGGTGATGATTGAAAAGAGATGGATACTGAAATTTCACAGCAATACAATTACTTGTATATTCTTCACATATTCCATCAATATCTTTCCGTTCCCTCAAAATTTATATTCTTCACATAAATCATCCAGCTACACATCGCTTAAAAATTTACACGTAATCATTCATTCATATGCCACATTTTACGGTATATAGCCAGGGGGAAATGAAATTTTTAGCCAAGCCCCGCTATTAAAACAACAATTCTTTCATTAACCAACCATTTTACATGATCTTTGTCAGCAGACCACGAGCAAAATTATAATTTAAAATTAACCTACCATTTTACCGACAATTTTTCGCAGAATTTAGACCATTCCATTAGTAGCACATTCTCTAACTTTTACTTAACCAGTAACCTTCGCTCTCTCCTACCAATACTCTAACATGACACAAATAAAACAAGACTATAGCCAGTAATTTGCCATGTACCCAACCATTTCATTAGTACCCACCCTTCAAATTTTAGTTTGACCATTTACCTACCTTTCAATCAGTAAAGTACCATTCATAAAAAAGTTCAGTCAGTAACCAACGTTTCATACAATACTTACGCCAGCAACATGCCTTTCATACAATATTTCCACCAGGAACATGCCTTTCATACAATATTTCATTCCGTAAGCTACCTTTCATAAAATATTTCATTCAGTAAGCTACCTTTCACACAATATTTCAACCAGTAACATACCTTTCATACAATATTTCACTAAGCAACCTACCTTTTCATACAATATTTCAACCAGTAACATACCTTTCATACAATGTTTCAACCAGTAGCATACCTTTCATACAATATTTCTACCAGCAACATGCATTTCATGCAATATCTAAACCTGGTTAAGATAAGTCATACAGAAACTCAACCAGTGACTAGGTTGTATTCATCCAGTGGTTTCAGTGAATTAATATTCAACTTCAATAAAACATGGCCAAATATGTAAGCTCTCAAAAAATCAGACAAATACACACTTGTCATAATAGACCAAAAATGTTTAAATGGTAAAGTTAAAATATAATTTAATAAAAGTTAAGTAGTTATTTATGACATTTTATAATATGCTAATGCCGTGGAAAGGATGTTTCCTATTTATTTTTAATGTCAATTATATATCATTATTATTCAAACTTTATAATTTGACTATCATCTCTTCAAAAGACTGAATTAGTCGACCTAATAAACATTTTTGTTCCTTTGAACACAAAACCTGTTCATGTTCAAGTTCGGATTAAATATTATTAATGTTCATTAAATTAATGTTCGTTAATTAATGTTCATTATTATTTAATTATTTATTTATTTCATTATTTAATGTTCATTAATTAATTAATTTAATTTTGTTCATTAATTAATGTTCAAGTTCGGATTATACATAATTTTGAAAAAATAATATTCGAGACACGATGAAACCAAATTCTATTTGCATTGAAATCGTTAAATTATAAATACAGAGCATTCATATCAACTCGTCGAATGCAGAGAAAACCAAGGTTAGAAAACCACCAATAAATAAGTAATTATTTAGGGATGATATAATTAAATAATGGAGATTCACAGCCTGAACGATAATAATATTCATAACCATGGTTGCATAAAACATCAGAAATTACTTAGAAATTACATCAGAAATTACTTAGGACTTTAATTTTGAAAATAAAGATATTGAATGCATTGACTGTAATTATTAAATTAAGTTACTGAATGAATTTATATTGTTTGAATGTCCTGGAAGAGATTTGACTAAATTTCCATTCAGTTACTACTACAAATAATTAACGTCTGTAGATTTGATGAAAACGCAAAGAAAAATTTGTAGTTATAATTGATCCTGTAATCATTTTACCCCTACATTTATAGGTTTCAAAAACTTTTCTAGAAAATCCGAATAGATTTGTAACACTATAACAACTTAAGCGTTTCAAATAATCATGTTTCGGCACATTACATGAAAACGATGTAAGAAAAACTTGTTTAAATCTAAAATATAGTTTCAAAATAAATGAAGAATTGGATCTGCATCACGCTAAATAAAATCAGTTCGCCTTCAATTTAATCTAACCATTTTTTAAAATATTGTTCACAACGATATTGTTAAGCTCAATGACCGAAAAAATACAGAGGATGCCCTAATAACCTGCTTATGATTTCAGAAAAATATGGAATTAAACGATGACATCAGAAATTAATTTTACATTGGTAATAAATTGCTTAATTTCTTATGTATTTTACACGATGATCGATATACAAGTTACAATCTAGTGTGGATACCACACACATTCATTTAGCTCATCAATTGAAAGGAGAAGTCAAATTGTATCCTGTAAGGATAATCTTACCGGTTAACTCATAAGCATCGTGGTAAAAAAATCAATTAAACGATCTCAACTACAATGTTATGGAGAAATGAAATTCAGATCTCGCTCCACTTAGAAAGTATGTCGAGCAAAACCAACATTAAAACACTTAACAACAAAAATATAAGCATGTTTTTCACTCACCTTCTTCCTTGTTCCGCCCATCATAGTTCTTCGAAGTTTAGTTTAAATGAACAACAACGCAAAGTAAAGAACAACGGAAATGTACACAAAACTCTTGTAAACTTGGTTTCGTTAAAATCTATACCTCCAAAGTCTGTTAAAAAACAACAGAAATGAGAATTGATTGCCTTCTGTCGCCCACCAACCGGAATTAAAAAATACTTCACTCTCAAAGCACGATTCAAAGAACATTAAGTACGTGAAGTGCTTAAATTAGTGATGCTATTCCTATTAATTATTCGACTTGAATAGAAAGAACGACTTGGTTCGACTTTATAATCAGGGCCTGTGTATGGACCTCGATGGCTTATGTTGAAGGTCAGGAAAGTGTTTATTCTTGGTCGATGTTGCTACAATTGTACACGCAAGACATTTCTGCGCGTCTAAACTGCTCTGTTTAATAATGCGCGTCTAAACTGCTCTGTTTAATATTAAAATTTCAAATTCTCTCACGACAATTCCATCGTTCACTCCAAAACTATAACATCGAAATGACCGCTGCCTAAACAAAAACAATAAGTGCCTCAACGGAACAAGTTACTTATGTAACTACAAGAACACACGGGATTACATAACGCATAATAAGTTGAAGTTATGAGCGAGCCTGCATCAGGGGCTAGTGCTCCACAGATCTACATGACATAAGTTGAAGTTATGCTCGTGCCAGCATCATGCAGGAGCAGGCTCTCATAGAGGTCTACATGACAGAGAAGTTGAAGTTACAAGCGTGCCTGCATCAGGGCTGGTGCTCACACAGGTCTACATGACAGATAACAAGTTGAAGTTATGCTCGTGCCTGCATCAGGGACTGGTGCTGGCGCTCATAGTCTACATGACAGATAACAAGTTGAAGTTATGCTCGTGCCAGCATCATGCAACGGAGGTTGGGGAGGTTGTTGGGGGTGCAAGTGGGTTACCAGGGGATGGCTCGGCTGGCACAGTATCTCAGAAGCTGGGATCATCTCCGTACCAAAACCGTGCATCTGAAGACGAGAAGAATTTCTTCCTTATGAAAATCGTTCTTTGTGCTTCTATATATTTATATATATAATATTTCTGGGAAAAGAGGTGGTCCCAGAAAGTGACATCTTTGCCTTCTTTGAAATCTAATTAATATAGCAATGCAAGTTGATAAAAATCATAGCATAATTTTTCTCAGTTGGTCATTAGTTTATCTAAAGCTCCCTGCTTATCTAATAATATCGCGAATATCATGAATTCTAAAAAAATCCCTAACCGTAGGTCTTCGAACAACTGCGTTTCATATGAATTCTATGATTGGAGTTCATTGGCACCATAGATCACAAACCATGCATATAAAACATATAGCCTCTATACATATAAGCAGACCATCTATATATTCCAGTAGTCAGCATCGATGTATGAAACATATAGCCTCTGTACATATATGCAGCCCTCCTATGTATATAAGCAGTCAGCATCGATGTATGAAACAGATAGGCTCTATACATATAAGCAGTCCTCCTATATATATAAGCAGTCAGCTCCCGTCAGTATTTGCCATCAGTAACTCTAAACTACTCGGTCGGCTTGCCGTGTTAGCTCGGTAAAGATATTCTGGAAACATTATCTCCCTCAGCCTCGCTTGCCTAGTAAACAACCTCACACGAACTGTCCCAGCTCACATGTCCTCGACCTTTCCCTTCTACACGCACACATTTCTGGAAAAGTCCTCTCTAACCGTGTGTTTTCATTTGTAAAAATGAGGATTTTGTACAGGCACGGTTTGTCTGTATCGGTGATTGCACATCATATTTCTACATGAATCTTTGAAATTTTGGAATCAATCAAAACAAAAAGTATCAATATTATTGAATTATCTGGCTATACGCGAACACTTGTTAAACTGGATTATTTTACAACGTCATAACCGTACTGAATTCAAATATAGTTTTACTAATGAAATTCAACGCGGAATAATTATACCACAATTCAGCTGGTACGTACCTGCGACATGAGTTGTTGATACTGCTGGTGTATCAAAGGATCAATTCTGTCGGGGTCATGAGCATGAGCGAACTCCGTGAGTGCTTTCCATGGCGGGTGATACCCTGTAACATCAACAGGGCCTGACACTCCTGCAAGAGGGCCTCCGTCGTGTCGCTGGGGGGAAGAAGCGACCATAGGCACTCCTGATAAACCTTGCAGTACCATCTGTTTCTCCTGCAGAGTAAGGCGAGCGCAGAGGTGTTCGTGGTTGACAAAGGGCGTTGTCGTGTTTTGGGATGGGGTTCAAACCGTGGCGGTAGACAGTTGCATAGTTATGACAGGGTTGATTTCGAGGAGGCATCAATAGTTATGTTGATTGTACAGGGTTGATTTCGAGGAGGCAATAATGGTTGTGTTGTTTTGACAGGGTTGAATTTGAGGCGGCATCAATAGTTGTGTTGATTGGAGATTCATTTCGAGGAGGCATCAATGGTTGTGTTGTTTTGACAGGGTTGATTTCGAGGAGGCAATAATGGTTGTGTTGATTGGACAGGGTAGATTTCCAGGCGGCCTCAATGGTTGTGTTGTTTTGACAGGGTTGATTTCGAGGAGGCAATAATGGTTGTGTTATGACAAGGTTGATTTCGAGGAGGCAATAATAGTTGTGTTGTTTGGACAGGGTTGAATTTAAGGCGGCAATAATGGTTGTGCCGTTTTGGCAGAGTTAAATTCGAGTTGTCAAAAGGGTTTGTGTCGTTTGAAAAGGTTGAATTCGCATTGGTTGTTAATATTATTGTGTTGTTTTGACGTGGTTGATTCCATTTTAGCAGATGCAGGTTGGTCATGTTATAACGCGTTAGTTGGATGAGGAAGGTGACGACGAATTGAGTCGAGGTTGAAGTGGGAGACCCAAATCAATCCATATGATCCAGTTGTCGATTTTTGCCCAATTTCGTGAAGCGTGAGAACGGTGAAAAAAGCAAAAATATTATTAAGGAAATAACAAGTTAATGGCTGCAGGAAGTTTGTCAATTAAACTTGAACTCAGGCTAACCTACTTAGAATCATAATTCTTGAACTTTCAATTATGGATGTTCATTAATTAAATTTGACTCGTATTTAAAATTTGTGTTAAATTTTAATATTCAATCTGAATCGTAGGTTCAACTTATCGCGGTGCAGGAAACTCCTAAATTCTACAATAAGCGTAGAATAATCTTTCCTCCAAACTATGTGCTAATTATATACGTATAACAACGTATATACGTTTTAAGTCTAAATAGGCACAGTCCTAAATATTTGTGAGAATTTTAATTATAATTGAATAGATATTTTTAAAAATCAGTAGCAAATAGTGTTAGTATTTAGAATTAACGTAAACCTTTATTCGTATTTGAACCCTTTTATTATTTTAATTAGCACTCACTAGTAAATATAAAAATAGTAAGTTTTAATATTACCGAAATTAAATAATGTAAATATTACAATTTACGAAGAAGTGGCATGTAAGTAAACAATTTAAATAAACATTCGTTCAAGTAAAACCGAAACCAGAAACAAAAAAAAAAGAAACTCTATAGAAGAAAAAAAGTGGAATGGAAAATCAAGTTTACTGGTGAGCACAAACATGGCCTCTGAGATATGAAGCACCCTATAGGCAATCAGACTCAAATTACTGTGGGACCGACCGTCTATATACGTATATAGGCTCGCTGCGCCCGCGCGAGACACTATAGTGTCTCATGGTCATGAGACACTAAAGAGATGTTCATGAGACACTAGAGTGTCTCATGAACATCTCGAGTGAGATAACTCCTGAGACACCGTGTCCATTTAATTATTATACGTCAATGTTATGTAAATTTCAGCATGTTAAACCAATTGTGGTAAATATATATTCAATGATTTAAATGTTGCGAATTCTGCACTCCGATTTGAATTAGACCGGAAAAAGTATTTCAGTTATGCAAATCGAAGTTGAAGTACGAAACTATATATACTGCGGCCGGTTGGGTCGTGTATTGAATCAAGGGGAGTGTTTACACTCATTACACACGAGATGGTGTGTTAGATCAAGACGGTACACACCCTGAGTGCTCGGTAAACACACACACGCTTGGTGTACATACTAGACGGTACACACGCTCCAACTCCACCCATCACCTTCACACCCCTCCTCTCTGTCTCTATCTCTTCTTTGTCTGTTCTGATCTTCCTGAACCATCCTTTACAAACTCTTACATCAGTTTTCTTTCCCACCTAACTCCCCCAACCCCACCATCTCTCATGTATACCTCCCCTTTCTGGATTAAAAACCTCTCATCAGTCATTCCCTGTGACGTCCCGCTGCTACGAGACTTTTATTCTATATGGTCTTTGTGTTACTTTTAGTTCAGACTTTTTTAACTACCGTATCTTCGGCAAGAAAAGCAATACCAGAAATATTTGTTAATTAACGTTTACTTTAAACCTACATTTACTCGCTGTTATAAGTAAAAGAATAGTAGATAGAACAAACGGGATGAAAGTTTATGCCTTAATAACCTTCATAAGAGGTGATGATTTGTAGACGATGAGATCTTGATTGCTACCGAAATATCCACTTAAATAACCAATCGATAATGAAACCTGGTTTTACAGTGACAGATAGCCCGCTGAAAATTTTCAGATTTCCTGAAAATTGTACCCTGCAGATAAACTTTATCTAGATGACATTTTTTATCCAAAATTAAATTCTCTTTCAATCACATTTAGTTCGGCCATTTTATTTTTGTAGGTAGAGTCATCATAATAAATCAGATTGATTTAAAATGATTTTTCATTCACCCCTTTTTTTCAAAAAAGGATATGTACGAATATGCATTTTACTGTGACATCTTTTATAGGCTCATATTCAGCTGGATTAAAAACGAGTGCTAAAAGAAACAAAATCACCCAGAATTCACTACCTTTACCAACAAGTTCCAATCCGTTTTTTCCCATCCCTATCCTCCCTTTGGTCGTTTACTGATCTTATATACACTATATTTCACTATATCTCCCAGAAATCACCACTTACCAAGTTCCTAGCTATTATCTCCGGTTTCTATCCATTTCTGAAAGTTAACTGATCTGATATACACTATATCAGTCAAAATTTACCAACTACCACCTAGTTCCAAGCAATTATCTCCAGTCTCAATCAATCTTAGGTCATTTACCTATCTTATATACGCTATATACACCATATTATATACACTATATTGTCAAAAAATTACCAACTCCAGTCTCTATCCATCTTAAGTCATTTACCTATATCTTATATACACTATCACTCCCAATTCACCAACTCCAGTCTCTATCCATCCCACCGGTATTTTCCCCCGATATTCCCGAGCCAGCTCATTTCAACCGCACCCGCCCCATCGAGTGCCTTTATCCCGGCGCAGGCATCGCCCCACAGAGCGAGTAATTCAATAGCGCATCCCGGACAACAGACGTGATACTTTGTCTCTCAGTTTGAAAAGGTAAACAAAATGGAGAGTTTGGTCACCATTCCATGGGTGCTTTATATGGTCACAGGAATCCTATTTGTTCTGGGACTGTACGTGGAGGAACCAAGAGCTTGTGTACGTGTGTGATGTACGCGAAACGTTCTCAGTAACGTACATGCGCAATCGTGCAAAAATAGTTTACAATAGTTTGGAAAATCTAAATTAAAAAATTATTTCGAATGCAGCGTCCTGGTATCGTAATTTAGTGGCATTACGAAAATGAAAGTTAAATTCATTTATTTTTAGAAGTGAAAGAATTCGTTCACTTGGACGAGATGGAAAAATTTGATTCTTAATAGTAAAAAATAATTCATTATCAACTAATCCGCGTGAGATTTATTTAAAGTAAATAAAATTCTACATAGTTACTATATGTTCCCATGTGTAGAAATATTCATAGTAACGGAGTAACATGTCCTAAGATCGGGTCAAAAAACACCCATGCTCAAATTTATACACTAATTTGTGTAGAAATATTCACAGTAACGGAGTAAATGTCCTAAGATCAGGTCAAAAAACACCCATGCTGAAATTTATACACTAATTTGTATGGAAATGTGTTCGGAATATTCATAGTAACGGAGCAATATGTCCCTAGATCGGGTTAAGAAATACCCATGCTCTAATTTATACACTAATTTGTATGGAAATATGTTCGAAACATTCAGAGTGACGTCGTAACATGTCCTTAGATCATATAAAAAAATCACCCATGTCCAAATGTATAAAGTTATTCGCAACAATTTCGATTTGAAGCATTTGTAGTTAAGGCCTAACATACAGTATGATAGGTATGAGGGGCAAATAACATCCTAGCCCTAATTCAAACACTGATTTGTGGGAAATGCGTTTGAAACATTCGTAATATAACGACGTGTCATGTCCAATGATCGAGTCAAAATACACCAATGCTCAAGTTAACACAATTATTTGTACTGAAATTTGTCTGAAACATTCAAAGTAACGTCCTAAACAGCCAGATTTGCGTTAAAGATCGAACAGCCAAGTTCGATCTTTAAATCGATCGTTAAAGTTCGAACATTTCATTCAGTATATTGTATGAAGATCTGTGTAAGAAATCTACATATTAAGGGTACCGAAACTGGGTCAAAGCATCTAGACTCAATTTCATCCTAAACCTTGCAGGGGAATCTGCAAGAAATATCACATTAGCAGTCGTTTAATAAAGCCAGAAACTGTAAGAAACAAGAAAGCCCAGTTAACCTCAAAATTTTCTGTCATGGAAATCTCGTGACTGAGAAACTTCGAGCTCAAAGCTCCGCGCCTACTTTTTTTAAAATTCTTAGAACTATAATAATAAAAAATAATTCATGATGACACTGGAGCTTTTTTCTTGTCTATAAATTCATGTTGAACTAAAGACATGCATGGTGTTGAAAAATTTTATGGAACCACAGCGAATAATCTCTGAGCGATTTAATTAAATTCCTCATTGCCTCTTCACTTACAATTTTCAAGAGGCTCACCAAAATTTTTCAGCCTCAAAATTGCAAACAAATCTAAAAAAAACTCTAAATGTTTTTATCAAATTATGCTAAATCTATTAACCATTACGAATGGTTAATAAATGTCTCCTTGAGAATGTTAAAATTACTTACAAAAGCTCCAAAACAGTGCATTTTATCATATAGTTATCGAAAATATACCAAATGTATTGACGAATTGGCTCTAAAACTTCGATAAAAATAATAAAACTTTCACTATGAACAAGCGAGTATTTCAATCAAATTCACATTACTAACCAAAACATTGAGACAATTCTCACATATACGTTCATAAGCTCATTTTTATGTAATATTACTTGTACATTTTCCAACATGACTCCAATTACCTATACACAGAATCATTACCTATTCATCGCTGAAACCCGGTCTTACAATGAGTCAGTAATAACTATAACGATCATAAGGCACAAGTTTATACAGACTGGAATAGCTAGCTAGACTGGAGTGAGCTGGAATTTCAAGTTAAGGCTTATCTCAAGTTCTAGGTAGGCCCAGCGATTGGGCCTATACAGCAAGAAGAAAGCTGCTCAAGCATACGACGTCAAAAACCTGAATAACTCCCCAAGCAAACATCACCAGATTGTCACACGTTTCTTTTCTTGTCTTAAACATTCGCGTATGAGGGCACTTTCATGTGCACATTTGCGAAATGATCCTAAAATTATCCTATCATTAAACAATTGTAATCCTATTATCAACCCGTCTTTATCCTACAATCATCCTATTGTCATCCAATAAGCATCCTATAATCATCCTATAACCTTGAACCTACAACATCTTCAACTTCAATTTCTTGCAGTCGTTCAATTTCTTTCTTCAATTTCTTGCAGTAATAGTATCCAAAAACACAACGCCAATAAAAATGTCCATTTCTGTATTCCAAATAAAAGTGTAAACCTCATTTCCCGGAACCGGGTAGCTTTTAGGTGTCTTTTTTTATATATCACACTATATTACTGGACAAGACAGTATAAGATCTTCATGGAATTAATATCAAGACACCTTCAAATACATGGAAACGTAATCCATAGCTACGATGAACAGGGGATTCAACGATTTTCATTTACATATTTCACTCTGACAGTGAAGCAAGTTTAGGGAACTCTAGTCAAACGTATCATGGATATCACAAAATTAAGTTATGAGTATAGTTCTATGTTACTGAGTATTACGAAACCGTATAAAGTAGAAAAATAATAACACGAGGCAAATACATGGAAAATTAGTAACAGATGAGATAATGATAGGCTTCCAGTTCCAGAACAAGCGATGCTCGGCGCAGAAGAGGCGAGTTAGTTAAGTCCTAATTGCACAAAATAAACACAATTTATAAAATGCGTAATGAATGACATCTGCGGAATGAATGTTCCGCGATTAAAACTTATGCAGCGGTCAACCTTTACCGCCAATTTAACTCATATTTAAGAAGAAATTAGTATAATGAATAAAATATGAAATCTTATAAAATAAAATATGAACTTATACGAAGATTTTCAGGAGTGGCAGACTGTAACGGGGCAAGTACACGAATGAGCCGAGATTTTTTTTCACTGTACCTACAGAGTATGGAACCAAGAGTACTAATGCACTTCGCTTGATATACAGTAATGATATAAATACCGTAGTAAATTACTGTGAGAGCCTTCAATTCCTGACATAAACAACACATTTTTTCCGTGTTGATAGGTCAGGAATTGGGTGCTTGCGAATGGTCTTAATACTTTATTTGCTGTCACACTGACACTCAAGTTTAAACAGGAGTGATTTACGTTAAAACTCCTTTCACATGGAAATCTCAGAGAGGGTTAAACTTTAGTTTTTGAAAATAAGATTCAACTTTACGAATTAAAATTTCTCATAGAAATGCCCAGGGGCTGTTCAAATATATTCGCTATTTCATTTGGCTTGAAGTGATAATATTTTAGTGCAGTTTGGTCCCATACCTGCGGTCTCAGAGCCCTCTGCTGCTCTATCCTAGCTCGCCTCTTGTCCTTGAAGCGCTTGTTCTGGTACCAGACTCTGACGACACGCATCGACAGATATTCTTTTCTTCCTTTTTAGTCCTTAAATTCCGATATTTCTTTATCTAGTCGGTATTATGCGCTGTAGGACCACCAACTAAACGGTTTGTTTTAAAAATAATTTGTGGTTACTGTGTGATTATTACCTAGATATTGATGCTAGGATTCCGAAATAAGAAATTATCTGTGATAGAGTTGTTTTCAAGTGTCATTCAAATTATCGAGGAACGAGACCACAGCTGTATTCAAGTTTTTAAATGACCACAGTTGTATTCAAGTTCAGTAATTTTAAGAAATTTGCTTTTCAAATCAAACAAAAGCAAGTGATTGCTCTAATTTTTTGAGGAAATTTTATTGTTTACATTAAAACAAAAATAGCCTCCGTTCATTTTGAGACATATAACGACTTATGCTCTCAGTTAATCGTAGATTTGGTGTGAATGTTGACACAAATGTATATTCTATCGACACGTCTGTATGATTGAATTAAAACGAATGCACTTTCTTTAATTCCAGATGATGAAATGAAAATGTTGACCACACTGTAGGTATATTGTAACTACACATATCATCTACTATCGTTAATTCCAGATGATGATGAAATGAAAATGTTGACAAAACTGTAGATATATTGTAACGACACATATCATTTACTATCACTAATTCCAGATGATGATGAAGTGTAAATGTTGACACAACTGTAGGTATATTGTAACGACACATATCATCTACTATCATTAATTCCAGATGATGATGAAGTGTAAATATTGACACAACTGTAGGTATATTGTAACGACACATATCATCTACTATCACTAATTCATATGATTACTGCATAATTTCACATGGGCATAATTGCAACTGTATTGTACCCAGACAATCCCTCACCTGAGGGTCTGAAGCTGCTTCTCGTTCAGCACGGTCCTTACCCTCGTTGTCTTGCCCTCTCGTCTCTCCTTGCGCAGCGGTTTACTCTCCGTTGCTGCACAGTTTGAAAATTCCCAGTGTTAATACAACCTCGTACTTGCATTTCATCTTCATTGAAATAAAATAAAGCAAAATTAGAGTGTCCTTTTGAGAATTTAAATTATTTGACGAAATTTATCATTGAGATTAAATTTGGATTTTTAGTGCAGAAGGTCGACACATCGCACTTAATTTATACCAGCACCTCATCCAACACGGAGTGTGTGATTATAAATTAATTTTTCTGACAAATACGCCCACATTTGTATGATATTTATTTAAATAAGTGTACCTATATATAATTCCATCGCAAGCATGTCAGCTTATTTGTCCACATTAATTGACATAAAAACGTGCTTTTATAATTAGGCATAAAACGGATCACATCATAATTATATGGCAGTCAATATGTTAACTTCTTTAAATAGGCATGTAACGAATCATAATATAATAATTAATAGTATGGTAGGCTATATGTCACATTTCTTTTAATTATGCAGGCAACGAATTACATTATTTATATAGTATAGGTGATATGTTACCTTTGACTTCATTGTGGTTGATGTTGGTGGTGTTGTTGTTCTCGGCATTAGCTTTCTTCTCGATGGCGTCGAAGTCTTGTTTGCAGTACAAGCCATCGTCTCGTAACGCGAACTCGTCGCCGGGGAGCAGTTGTTTTCCGCACGCCACGCATCTGAGTCAAAACTTACGCTACTCAGCATCAATCTAAAACATCAGCTGACTACGGGACAAAAAAATTTCTACACGTTCAATTTTTCCACTTATTGACCAGAATATTATTTTTAGCGAGTTAGTAAAATATTTTTCTATCGTAAATGGATTTGGTAACCAAACTTTCACATCAGTAAGAATTCATGTCGACTTGGATGCATCTTCGAGCCAGGGATTCACGTGAAAAAAAGGCATGAAAAAACAATAATAGTGAGTTATATCTTTAATTAACTTGCATAAAAAACACAAGCGTCATATTAAACCGGAACTTTCCATTTACCTGAAACAGTCGAGGTGATATATTTTAGATCGCGCCCTCATCACGAGATCTTTCCGATCGAACATCTGCACACACTTGTCGCACTTGGCACCGAACAGTCTGCATGAAAGGGAGACGTATTGGGTTTAGAACATGCAACATCCAAGGGCCAGTGTTAAAATTTAAACATGGGTATCAGCATCAATAGTTGTTCATCTTGCGAATTACAAATTTACAGTGAAACAAAAGCTGTAAAGGAGTTATTGGAAGAAATGCAATTCTAAGAAAAACATGCATTCGATAATTCAATTCCTCTCAACGCAATAGCGAAATTTAGTTATCGAGCTCTGTATGACACTCAATCAAAAAATACAGTGAAAAAGACTAAATTAACAAAAAGTATAAATAAATACGAACGTGAGAAAGAAAGAACGAATGGAAAGCTGGTTGCCATTATAGAAAATATAGACAAAAAGTTTAAAGACGAAGAAGCATAGAAGACGGAAAGAAAAGCAAGAAAAACGCGAACGTATATACAGGCAGCAATTTTCGAAGCCTGCCAACGGTTGTTCAGAGTTCTTTGTTCAGCAGATCTCAAGTAGGATGAACAAAGGCAGCTTTGAGGATCTTTCCGAAGTATCCTTCGGCTGTCGCACAAGACACCTTTGTTGTAATGCATGCACTTGTTCTACAGCTGTGTGAGTGTACGGCTGTGTAAGTGTGGCAGCTGTGTGAGTGTGACAGCTGTGTGAGTGTGACAGCTGTGTGAGTGTGACAGCTGTGTGAGTGTGACAGCTGTGTGAGTGTGACAGCTGTGTGAGTATGACAGCTGTGTGAGTGTGACAGTCACGTGAGTGTGACAGCTGTGTGACCATGACAGCTGTGTGATCATGACAGCTGTCTGAGTATGACAGCTGTGTGAGTAAAACAGCTGTATGAGTGTAACAGCTTTACATACTTAAACTAAGGCCTGCATGCATAAGCATGTGGGCTTATTGCATTCTAATTGCTGCATTCCTACATCGTCATTCCTGTTGCTGCGTTAATATACAGCTGAGTTTCTGCTGCTGCGTTTAATCAGCTTCGTTCGATCGTTTCGGGCTTATTCGATCGTTTCTGAATCAGCTTTCAGGCTTTTACGTCCGTTTCTGTAAGTCGTGCTACGCTGGTCAAAGTTCAACTTTCAGCGAAGTTCTTTCACCATCCCTTAGGTGTACCGATCTTGCGGAAAAACTATTCTAACCTACTTGGATATTTTATTACATATTTTTTCACGTTATAATGATAAATATTGATTTGCTACAATATAAAATACTGAATTATTACAGTTGCGTGCCATTGGACGCGTAGCAGAAGCTACTCGGGTAAAAAAATTTTTTTAGACTTTAACATACATCCAACTTAGAGGTTACGCGGCATATAGTTTTGCTTTCTGTAAGTAGGAAAAATCAGCAAATTATACGTGCCACGGCTTCAATGGTCATACTTTCAAAAAAGTTAAGAAATCGTAAGTTCATCAGCCAATCATTGACGACATTTCAAGCAAAATCCACCAATCATAGACAAGAAGATAGAGCGTAAGTATTTACGTTAACTTAGCGAGTTTTGAAAGTATATATGGCCCTGGGGACTCAAAACCTTAAAGAAATTTGCTAGAAAAAATTAATTGATTTATTCATAAATTGACCGTTAAGTCAATGAGCTAACGAGTTGACGAGTTACACAATTAAGGCGGGTTTCTTTTTGAACAAGGAATAGAAAATATTGATTTTATTGTTGACGAGATATTAGAAAATCAATTAATTTTTCTTTATTTTTCTAGCAAATTTTTAAGGTTTTGAGTCCTCAAGCTCATTCTTCACGACATCGAAGGTCGTATACTCGAGACGTCACCGCGCAGCATGTACGTGTGATGAACCGCGTCCGCAAGACCTGCGCGAGTGTAAGACTCATATTCTCGAGACCATAACAAACAATGGAGTCGCGCTTCCAATTTGTTATATCCTCAAATAGCTCCTCAACTTTTAGCGTCGTCGGCACTTAGACTCTTAACCCTTCACTGCCCCATGGCTTATGAATTCTTGTTACTTTTGGTGGTTTAGGTACAAGTGAGACGTATAGGTCATGATTGGCTTTACTTTCAAAACTCGCAAAAATGCACGTATAGCGGTCGATTTCTCGTCAGTTATTAATTAATTAGTGGGTTTAGCTTGAAAAGCCGCCAGCTAGTGATCGACTGATGATGTTACAATCTTGTAACTATTTTAGAACAGCTGTAACTATTTCAGAACAGCTGTAACTATACAGCTGAACAGCTGGCTTGGTCACAAACGCAGCGAGCGTTATATTATTTTCTGAGGATAGATTCTGCAAATAATTCAGAGTAATGCCCATTGTTTGCTTACCTCAAAAAGACCGTTGGTTGCATTATATATAAATCAAAATTCATGCATTATGATTAAAATTTACATATTAAATTAAATATTAATTTAATACTTAAATTTAATAAATAATTAGTTAAACCTGAAAATATTATTTATTTTAAGAATAATAAGGTTATTTTGGTTTCAATAATGAAGGGATTGATGAAGCGAAATGGAATGGCTATGGAAAATTGTAATTATTGATCTGTATATCAACAAATAAAACCAAGGCTTATAAATCTAACTTACGACTATATGCTAGGTGACTAGCTACGTACCTAACATAGTCACGCTTGCAGTAGGTACGACCCTCCCTGACGAAGCAGGTGCAATACTCGTCCAGGAACATGTGACAGTCGGCACACTTGAGACACGCGGCGTGCCACTCCATGTCCGGCGCCACGCGTAGGATGTATTGGTCGTTGATGACCACATCGCAGCCACGGCACACGGACAACCGGCCTGTCCGCTCCGCTGTCGCAACATACATCTCAGCGTCAGCTCAGAGTTACATATTATTATAATTGCTACTTAATATAAGAAACATACATCTCCACATCAGCTTCGAGTTACATATTATGATAATTGTTACTTAATGTAAGAATAACTTTGATGTGAAAATCAAATATTTTATGGTTTTGAAAGGTACATGGACAGCAAGCCTGTTCGCTCCGCTGTCGCAACACACATCTCAGCGTCAGCTCCGATTTATATGATATGATAATTGCTATTTAATGTAAGAATTCAGATGTAAAAAAACGAGTTATATGTTGTGATAATTGCTACTTAATATAAGAATAATTTTGATGTCACAATCAAATATTTTATCGGTTTGATAGTACACAGACAGCCGGCCTGTCCGCTCCGCTGTCGCAATGCATACATCTCAGCATCAGCTCCGATAAATCAATATGAAATATGAATATGAAACCCACTAGTTAAAATAGGAAGAATTATCTGTTAAAACAGATAATTCTTCTGTTATCATAAATGGTTATCAAATTTCACCATTAAGTATGTATCATCTCAATAACGTATACGTTATTGAGATGATACATATTTAGTGGTGAAATTTATGACAACCATTCTTGCGTAAAGTACGGACGGGTCTCCATACATGGCATAATCACATCGCACAAACGTTAGCTCGCAAGCCAATTCAAATAAAATTGCTTAGAAATGATTTGTGATGGAATTATTGGAATAACACAAACAAGCATAATATTCAAGTTCAAAGCTTCAGTAGTCACCTAGCGTAACCGGGAGTAAGCTGCTAAGATTAAATATAGAGATATCTCCAATTTTTTCAATAATTTAAAAAAATATTCACCGCCAAAACGTAAACATCGACCTTAATGCCCAACATTGTTATTTTTGAATAAAGACAAGACCCGATCATTTGAATAGTAAAATTTCGAGAGCAATAACAAAATTATGCAGGGAATTGGGCCACTGGACGTTGAATGAACTGAAACATGAAGTAAAATACGATGAATGCGTTAACCGATGAAACACGTTAGTAGAAAATTACCAATTCTCCTTAATAAGGTATAAGGATTCGAAATGTTATACCCATGGCCACATGTGTTTAAAACGGTAAAGTTCTTAAAGGTAATTTAAATCACACCTTGGTTTCATAAAGGTAATATTAATTCAGTTGGTATTATATTATCAAAATATTGGTATTCTCATATTAATTAATCATATTATTTGTAATTAGTTTGGTTAGTTTTATTTGCAATACTCGGTCAATTCTATCCATATGTTAAACTCGTATCTACGCTGCCACTTACAGAGGATTCTATTCACATGCCAAATTTACTAAACTCTAACAGGTTACATATCACCAATGAAATAAGCGTCAGAGCTATAAAATCGCTATGAACACATGTTCATGTCGAGAACATTTGCTGCCGACATGCTCACGTTCATACCACATCACTCAGATAAATTAATGGGTTGTTGTTGACTAAATATTGATACACTTTCTGTTTAAACCACTGATACGATCTTTTACCGAGCTAAACTATATATAAGTCGTACGTGCGATAACCCGCAAATGGGCAAAAAATTCATCGTCGTTTGAACAAAGTTTCAATCATTAATCTGAGCACATATATATTCTCAACATGTTCATGTCAATTCTTTTGTAATTTCAAAATTTGAAATTATTTTTAGCTGGACGAGTCAGTGCTTTGCTCATTTATGTAAAATTAAAATAATAATATAATATGTAAAATTAAATGCCATTGTCACAAAAGCTTCAACATTTTTAAAGCTAGAAATGTAATCAAATAAATTCCATTATTTTTATTAATTATACTGGAAATTGTACAGTGTTAAACAAAATTTTACTTTAAATGAATAATTTATAACATTATTTACCACCCATACTTGCACAAACTAAAAATTAAGTGGTAATTATTTCTTCTCTCAGATGTTTCGTAGTTTCAAACTTTTCCTAAAGTTGAATGATTTTAAAAAATATCACCAAATAAAATCAAGACTTATAAATCTAACTTAAGACTAAATGCTAGGTGACTAGCTACGTACCTAACATAGTCACGCTTGCAGTAGGTACGACCCTCCCTGACGAAGCAGGTGCAATACTCGTCCAGGAACATGTGACAGTCGGCACACTTGAGACACGCGGCGTGCCACTCCATGTCCGGCGCCACGCGTAGGATGTATTGGTCGTTGATGACCACATCGCAGCCACGGCACACGGACAGACGGCCTGTCCGTTCCGCTGTAGCAACATACATCTCAGCATCACCTCAGAGTTATTTGTTATGATAATTGCTATTTAATATACGAACAATTATGAGATGTACTGGTCGTTGATGACCACATCGCAGCCACGGCACACGGACAGCCGGCCTGTCCGCTCCGCTGTCGCAACACACATCTCAGCGTCAGCTCAGAGTTATATGTTATGATAATTGCTATTTAATGTAAGAATTCAGATGTAAAAAAAAACGAGTTATATGTTATGATAATTGTTATTTAATATAATAACAATCCTGATGCACCAATTAAATAATTATTGTTTGACGGTAAATGGACAGCCGGCCTGTCCGCTCCGCTGTCGCAATACACATCTCATCATCAGCTTAAAGTTACATATTATTATAATTGCTACTTAATATACGAACAATTATAATGTGAAAATTTAATATTTTATTGTTTTGAGGGTTTATGGGTAGCCGGCCTGTCCGCACCGCTGTCGCAACACACATCTCCGCATCAGCTCCGAGAAATCAATATGAAATATGAATTTGAAACCCCCCAGGTTAATAAGAATAATTATCTATTACGTTATTGGGATGATACATATGTAGTGCTGAAATTAATGATAACCATTCTGATGTAAAGTTCCGACGGGTCTCCATACATGGCATATTCGCATCGAAAAAACGTTAGCTCACGAGCCAATTCAAATAAAATTGCTTATATAAATGATTTGTGATGGAATTATTGGAATAACACAAACCAGCATAATATTCAAGTTAAAAGCTTCAGTAATCACTGAGCGTAACCGGGAGTAAGCTGCTGATACTACATATGGAGATATATCAAATTTTTCAATAATTTAAAAAAATATTCACCGCCAAAACGTAAGCATCGACCTTAATGCCCATCATTGTTATTTTTTAATAACGACAAGACCCGATCATTTGAATAGTAAAATTTCGAGGGCAATAACAAAATTTTGCAGGGAATTGGGCCACTGGACGTTGAATGAACTGAAACATGACTAACAGGTTACATATCACCAATGAAATAAGCGTCAGAGCTATAAAATCGCTATGAACACATGTTCATGTCGAGAACATTTGCTGCCGACATGCTCACGTTCATACCACATCACTCAGATAAATTAATGGGTTGTTGTTGACTAAATATTGATACACTTTCTGTTTAAACCACTGATACGATCTTTTACCGAGCTAAACTATATATAAGTCGTACGTGCGATAACCCGCAAATGGGCAAAAAATTCATCGTCGTTTGAACAAAGTTTCAATCATTAATCTGAGCACATATATATTCTCAACATGTTCATGTCAATTCTTTTGTAATTTCAAAATTTGAAATTATTTTTAGCTGGACGAGTCAGTGCTTTGCTCATTTATGTAAAATTAAAATAATAATATAATATGTAAAATTAAATGCCATTGTCACAAAAGCTTCAACATTTTTAAAGCTAGAAATGTAATCAAATAAATTCCATTATTTTTATTAATTATACTGGAAATTGTACAGTGTTAAACAAAATTTTACTTTAAATGAATAATTTATAACATTATTTACCACCCATACTTGCACAAACTAAAAATTAAGTGGTAATTATTTCTTCTCTCAGATGTTTCGTAGTTTCAAACTTTTCCTAAAGTTGAATGATTTTAAAACCTAAAATCTTTAACGTACACGCACACTGCAGCAGCGTCATGTCGGGCTTTCTTTTTCCGTCAATCACTACCTTTTCAACGTATTAGAATTATGAAACTATAATAATAGCTTTGCTGCAACAAACATAACTTCCACTTTGTCATAGAATATGCTTAGTCATCCTTTTTCAGAAGTGAAGCTCAGTCCGTAATATAAAAATTCTACGCATTTACATATTCGTCTGGTAAACTATTGTTGGAATAACTAGACCAGTACGTGTTATAATTACACAGAGCACAGCTGTTGATGGCCGGACGTGACTTCAAGTGGAACACATTTACGATCAATTCTTCAGATAAATTCCAAAAACATTGCGTTGCCCTCAATGGTTATCTAAAATTACCATTTTAAACACATGCTTAAGATTAAACACATCTGATTCTTTTACTTTATATTCTAAACACTTCCAAACAAATTTTCAAATAAAATTTATATGAATATAAACTCGAAAGGTTCAATATCAAAGCATTTCAGAACCAGAAAAAAAACTTTAATCTGAATCAAGTAACTATATTACAAGTTACCGAAAGAACGGATTTCATATTAATATTAACAAGTTAACCACTACATCAAGATAATTAATACTGTAAAATTAGCTTTAATCTAATATTATCATCACATATAATCATACTCATTCAATCTAATAGACGTTACAGTTAATAGTCACAAATAATAATGCAATAATTTAGTTAGGCCGATTCTTTGTTCGACAATACTACTAAGAAACTGGTTTTGAATCCACAGTCCTGTTTGCATTATATTCAAGTTTCGAAACTATGAAATAAATTCAATGCATGATACACTGCGAAAAATTTAGGAGGCATTCCGAAATGTAATAATATAAAATACATGTAACAATATAGATAATATGTATATATATTATGTAATAATATATAATATAATAATTCTTGGGCAACGTTTAAATAAATCTACGTGATGTGCTGCGTTAAATTTCAGTGAAATGTTGAAGTAAATCTGAATGGTATGCCGAATTGCTATTCAATAGTTGCTATTAATATGAGTGATATACTGAAATTAAAACGAGAGGTATACTGAGATGAATTTTGCTAAATGGATTCGTATTATGCATGCAAAAATTAATTCATTTATTATTGTTGGTGAATTGAAGCCGCAAGCGACACGATGAAGTGAGATTCAGAAGGCATGAAGAAAAATGAATACTGGACACAGACGATGAAAGACATTCTGAGTAAAATGATTTACATTTATTCAAAATTTTTATACGAATTGATGAAACACATATCATGTTGCACAAAACTCAATTAATCCTATTCCTACAAAGGAAAGTTAATTATAGATGAAATAAGTTAAAATGTTGTTCTACGGTATTAGCACGTTGACTACGTATTGGTACATATGCGTACCACAAAATGTATTTCTCCAGGACGTAGTGGTACATAATTCAGGTTGCCTAAAACCGGCCAAATCCGAGAACAAAAAAAGGCCAAAAAAGGCCGATAATTCAATGTATACTAGTTTATTTGTAGGTTCCGCTATAAAAATTCCATTTATTTTCTTTTTTGCAGTATTTAAAATTTAATTAGGAAGTACCCTTATCATAAATTTTAGCCGGCCAACGCAATTGAGAAAAACTAAATCACGGAATTTGTCCGGAAAAAATGATCGACTGGCAACCCTGTTTAAAAAAAGTGCAAAAAATGAAATAATTGTACAAGATGAAGCAATCGTAGTCAACGTGTTAAAAATAATTCATTTAAACAATTCAGCCAACATAAAATATGGACGCCGGTAAGGTCAATATATAATTTCATGAACAATACTTCACATATGTTTTAATGTAACAAGTATTAGCATAGAAAAAAATGCGTTAGAAAAAATTTTAATTTGATGTTGGTTGTTTCTTAATTGGTTTCAATTATGGTGACATTTTTTCAAATTAAAAAAAATGCAAAAGAAAAAATAAAATTTTGCAAATTTTCAATTATGACGCCATAAAGCGTATAATGAAGCAAATTTTTAATTTAGACTCTATAAAACTCATAATAAAAAATTTGTAATAAGACGCTATAAAAATCTTATTAACGGAATTGTTCTGCAAGGCGGAAACATGCCTCCCCGACTGTGTTGTAGTTGAGTTTGATAACGTTGTTCAAGCTAAGATATTTGACATAGTTGTACCTCAAAAGTATTTAACGGTGTGCAATATCACATATGTTGTCAGAGAAATTCAAGACATTCAATTTCTACTTGAGTACATTTCCTTCTGTATCGTAATTTTCCAGGAAACTTATGATATGCGGCTAATTATTAACATTTTAAATTTTAATTTGATACTTTAAATTTGAATTTCAAATTTCAAATTTGAATTAAAAATTTCAAATTCGAATTTAACATTTCAAATTTGAATTTTACATTTTAAATTTGAATTTAACATTTTTAATTTGAACTGAACTTTTAAATTTGAAATGAACGTTTAAATTTCAATTTTACATTATAAATTTAAATTCAAAATTTACATTTGAACGTCAATTTTTTTAAATTTGATATGTCAATTTAACTGCGCACGGTCTACTTTCGTGAATGTCAAAATTCATTATCAATGTCATTTAAACATTGATTTTCATAATGTTTTATACACGTTCAATGCGATGACGTCGATCGCACTAATACTGAATAAATCAGATAGCAAACAATTTTTACTGCTTACATATTCGAACGGAAATGATGCAAAATAATTATAAATTTTGGATGATATTTAAAGAGGTTGGAACTCAAATGCAACAATTCCGGAGGCCATAGATTAATTATGTTTTAGTTAAATTAATGATTTTCAGCCGATAAATTACATCGCATGTTCGCTACCCTACCCCTACACGGGCTACACCTAATATGATACCCTAATTGTGTACGTATTCCAGAACCTTACAATTTATCATTTCGAGAATTTTTGGAAAAAAAACTAGTAATTCCTGGGCGTGGCCAAACACATAATTAATAATGCACAATACCAATGTGGGCTCCTGTTTATATGCATGATCGATGCACATGCCACTATGAATCACCTTTCTTTGGTGTAACAATTGTCAGTGTAACAAGAATCCAAACAGACTGTGAATTCTGTTGTATATTTATTATATAAAGCAACTATATATAGTTGCTTTTACACTCATTTTGATGATGGCAAAGTTCAGCCATCACTTATGTCTTAGAATAATGGTGATAACGAAGTTCCGTCATCATTCATAGAAATAATAACAAAATTCATTCATCTCTCATAGTTGATAACAAAGTTCCGTCATCATTTCTATAGTAATGATAAAAAAGTTCATTC